CTCTCCCTCGGTCCTTTACTGCTCGAGTTGCCATATGACGAGTTTAAACCCTGGATCCTCCTCTGATGGCAGTGATAGATGTGTTAAGTGTAGTACAGTTGTAGCTTTGGAATCCAGGGTTAGTGAGTGAGCTGAGTCTCGAGCTAGCGCTAGCATTAGCTATAGCCTAGCAGTATCCTCGGACATGCAGCCCTCCTCCTCTGCTACACAGGCTGCTGTTGCTACAGGTCCATTCAGATTGTACAGAGCAGTCAGCACCATTGACTTCACAGTGTCCGAGTCATTCTCTTAAGACATAAGCATTTTCAAAAACTACTCGTGCTGTGCTGAATTTTCTATTAAATACTTGCTCTGTATTATAATAGATCCATGCACCGCACCAGTACTAGTTACGCGTCACACGTAAATGGCGTGGTCTGACAACGCTGAGGACATACTGGGGGTACTATTTTTGATGGAAAAGCACGCAAACTGGGCCATGGCGCGCCGTGTAGAGTCAAAACGTACCATACTAGGACTGTGGAAAAGCGGAATTAGTGACGTGATATTAACATGCCATGGTAGCTCATATTCACAGTTCACTATACAAATGCCAGTTATTAGTAATAATTGAAAAGAGTCTGCCTTTACTGCATTTTGCCCCGTGAGTTTGATACCTGTGATATAGAAAACCACAGAATTACAAAGAAAGTGGGAGTGGAAGCTTATACATTTGACTTCTTCACACTTTTCTTTACATTTACTGAAGTATCACATGTTGGAAAATGTACACTCACATTGATTTGGTCTAAATATCATACAATGTCTTACCTCTGTTGAAGTCATCTCCGCAAATCTATACTGTCGGGGACAGTACTACATTAGCTGTTGTTTGTGTTATGTTCCTCGTGAACGCGCATCTTATTGAGGCTGCAGTAACACTTCTGGCCAGAGGGGGCTTTGCGAGCACAAAAATGTCAAACTCCGCGACGCTCCTTTAAAGGAGCAGTATGTATAAATCTGGCCAAAAGTGGTACTGCAACCTCTCCCACTCTCCCTGACTAAGGTTGCCAGATATGCAGATGAATCCAGCTGGGACCATAATAACTGAAAAGACCAGAGAAATCTATAACCAACACCATATTCACAAATGCCCAGATAGAAATCCTCGTTTTATTCCTTGTTTTGTTGTTAATTATTTGATCATCCATGAATCATGACGAGACCTTTTTTTTAGCACAGCAGCCTCATGTTACTTTATCAGTGAGATTATGTCACAAAGTGGACCAAGTGGCCGTTTGTGCAATGCAAGCGTGCATGCATGCGTGTGTGCGTGCGTGTGCGTGTGTGTATGTGTGTGATGGGCGTGAGTGCAATCAGGTAGAAAGGCCAGGTGTGACTGTGATGTGAGTCTAGGTCTCCAGAGCAGGAGTGAGCAGCATGGTGCGGAGCCAGCGGTGATCGCCAGAGCAAACAGTGCGCATTGAATGTCAATGTTAAGTCTTCTTTAAAATCAGACGCTATAAAAGTCAATGGAATCCCCCAGACTCCTACTTGAATCCATTCATCTGTGTGTGTTTCCAAAGTCTCACACAATCCTCTACTGTATACAAACATACAAACATTCACAGCAGTACGGTTTACCCAGTGACAAGAGAAAAGCAGAGGAGTCTAAAAATGCATTCAGAAAAAGACAACAACAAAAAAAAGTGTAAAACTGGGCCAGAGCTGCTTCTGAATATTCACAGAGAGATGTTTGTGGAGGAGCTGGCAGAGCGGCTGCAGCAGATGGAGGCGCAGAGGAGCAGAGAGCGGGCACCTGCGAGAGGTGACAGACCAACACATGCCGGGGATTCTATTATTAACTATTGCTGCTCATACTTTTCTGCTGAGTCATGCTACAAAAACAGGTCGGACCTCGAACCCTAACAAAGAGACCGGACGGATTTTGCCCTAACATTGTGGAATATGATCTTCAATTCAATTCATTTCTGTATAGCTTTAAACCAGAACTGGACTTCACAAGGGTTTGCCAACACAGATCAGAGAATAAAGCAGTGCAAATACAGGAAATGTAGTTATAAAAAACACATACACTGTAGATGTACAGACATTAAAGTGATTGTCTGGAGTTTGTCCGAAAAAGGAGAGAGGTACATGATTTGAAAAAAACGACCCAAGCTCCTCCCCCTTCCTTTCTGATTGGTCTTCGCCTACGCTTCCATAACAATCAATCAACACATTTAAATGTTACACATTATACATATATATTATTAATACACATGCACGGAGGTTTTCAGAATTATTTGTTAACGTTTTCATGACACAAACAATGTTTTAATTCATAAAAAGAGCGATCGCAGTAAACCAGTAAACCGCAGTAAAAAAGCGTACAAAAAGGAATACGCCCCCTATAGACCATGTGTTTTCAGTTTTATTTCTTCTGTCTGAACTGAGCTCTTGTTAAGTATCCTTAATCTCAAGTCCGACCCGAGTTGTGCAACATATTTTGAAATTTTGGACTTATGTGGAAAAGATGAGATGTCTTATTAGGAATGTGAAAACAATGCTTCTGCTCGACGACAAAACAAAGAATACTTCCATTCACAAATCTTCAAAATATGTAACAATTTAGAGATTTTCTCCCAAATTCAAGAGATTTTTTGGTGCTTAAATTTTTTTTTTCATTGCATTAAGGCAATTTTTATTCAATTTGCGAATTATCATGACGCCCTAACAAAATTTGATAAGTTGTACATTGGGGAAGCTTTAGCCGTAAAATGTTTGGTAATTTCATAGGCGTCTACTATATGCATTAACTCTCAAACCGCTGGTCAAAATATAAACAAAACAATTATTTCAGTATTTTTTTCTTTTTATTGACACTACATAGACACAAGCTCCGAGAGTTTAGCTTCAATCTCCATCCCGTGTCTTTGCTTGGGCCGACTTTGATTAAACTCGCTCTTGACACGGCTGAGTTGTGGCCTTTTCAAAATGACCCCAATGGCATTTTAATGTTGTCCCGTGAGAGGCAGACCAGGCCCAGGAGGACGGGCGCTGTCACCGTGCATCAGGCAATAACAGAGGAACCACCCAGCCAGGCTTCAAGGACACAGGCAGATTTGACACTATCAAATATTTATGGTGACCTGTGGCCTTGCAGATAAACAGCTGAATAAAAACATTGAGTGCTCATGATGGGGAGTGTACAGCTACTTTTCTCCGACACGGGAGGATACACAAGCTGCTGTAACGGCTGTGAGATAAGTCTTAAAGTGGAGACAAAAATGTGAACAAAAAATTGGACCTAATTATGTTTTTTTGTATTTATTCTAATAACTGAACAGACATATTAAATTGGACATATATAAGTCAATATTAACAGTCAATTGTAACATTCTGATCAGAAATATTAATCATAATCCTTATTTGGACAATACTGACCACTATACCTACTACTACGACTACTACTACTACTACTATTACTACTACTACTACTACTACTGCTGCTACTATTACTACTGCTACTGATACTGCTGCTACTACTACTACTACTACTATTACTACTACTACTAGTACTACTGCTACTATTACTACTGCTACTGATACTGCTGCTACTACTACTACTACTATTACTACTACTGCCAGACCACCTCACCTACTACTACTAAAACACTGTACCGTTTATTTTTTGAATTATAATTGGAAAAAAGACAAGTAGAAATTTCATTGCTGGATAATCGATTACAAATATTCACAGTACAATGGTCATTTTGGGCAAGATATAAGCTAAATGAGTTTCCTCCGCAGAGTGGCTGGACACTCCCTTACATACACTATACACTCGAGGAGCTCAGAGTAGAGCCGCTTCTCCTTGATGTAGATCAAGAGAAGCCAGCTGGACTTGCCAGGGAGAAATATCATGAGGAAGACCTATAGGACTGTGCAGGCCTGGGAACACTCAGGACTCCCCCAGAGGAAGTGTGAAAGTGGATACTATAAGAACGAGCCCTGTGAGTCACTATTTGACACTTTGGGCAGCCAGCTGATTTGCTGATGGAGGGAGTGTCTCTGTTCTGTCTGAGAAAGCTCATATAAAGAAGCAACAAAAAATACCTGCAGGTGAAAAGTAATGATTTTAAGAGCTCGGAACAAGCTGGATTTATTTACATGGTTTGAAAGTTAGGTACCCCAGCTTTAAGTGAAGATAAAAATCCCTGCTAAAGCATGCTCCATACACTATATTATTTTAATTGTAATTCAGTTTCAGGGGCTAAGTTCTGTAAAACATTGGATTTTACTTATTTACTCGACTACATTCAACTGTAAAATAATAACGTGAAACCTGCAACGATTTTTACACATTTTAAATAAATATTGTCTAATATCATTTCAGAAGTCCTGCGATATTGGACTGGAACATTTTGAGCAACAGAAATTAGTGAAGAAATCATGACAAAATAAGTACTACGCTTGGAAATCTATCTCCTCAATAATTGCCACCTATATGCAATATTCAAAAGTGGTCTCTCTGAAAACATGTGTCTGAATAGAAAAATAGAATAAAGTTACAATATATGCACATTTATAAGAATATATTTTCCTGATGAAAACGACGTCCAACCCGTTTAAGCACAAAATACATCATGTTTTAGTGTCTGGTCTTGTTCTGACAGACATCTTTCCAAACACATGAGAAACCGCGCTGTCAATACTGATCCCACTGTAATCAATAACCAACTCTGTGAGACTTATCGACTGCTCTTACCATTAGTGGAGCCGCTCATCTCGACCAGGACCAAACAGTCAGATGGATTTGGATTTGGTCCGCGTTGTAAAAGAATAATAATAGTTGGAAATGCAAAAAGCAAGCAGCGTCTATTTCCAATGCACACAAAAAAAGTGACAGAAGAAGAAGGCGTCTCCAGTGAGTGGGGTTTTCCTCTGGTTCTCCCGTGATGATGATGATGAGGATGATGATGCTTTCTCTGGGTAAAGAAAAAAAAAAAACTCGCTTCCTAAACCCACGTCCTCCCTCTCACCATCACCCTCTCCTCAGTCCAGTGTGGTGCAGACCCGCGGACCTCAGCGCTGCTCTGAGCCCAGCCACATGCATCCAGCTCCCGGGCAGACTCGCTCCACGCCTGCCCGCTCCAGTGTGAGAGGCTGGGACTGAGTTTGAGGATGAGAGGAGTCAGCGCTGAAAAGGGGGGACGCGAGGACAAGAAGAGAGGAGGAGCGGGGGCGCCCTCTGGTGGGGTGAAGACGTATCACATGTTGTGCTTTATTTGTTTGCTTTCGTCTGCAGCTGTAGTGTATTTTATGTTGATAACAGTTCAATCACAGACTGTAGATATTGAGTTAAACGCACCGTTTTGTATATGTCTTTATTGTATATTATCTGCCAGAACAATGAATAGTGACAGTCTACAGTGACCGTAAGATTTCAGTTTTGTTATTGTTCCTCTTTTGTTATTGATCCGTTACAAAATTAGGAAAAAATACAAAACTGGAAATATTAAGAAAGTGATTAAGTATGTAATTGATAATAATGATTGATAATTGATAGTAACAATACATCGATTTTAAATATATATTTTTTCAAAAGATCGCTTATGCGTGCACACGTACATGCACACGTGCATGCACACGTACATACACACGTACATGCTGACCGACAAATTGCAACAGATAAAGACGGTAAGTTTGTTGGTTTCAAGGTTGCCTTGCCTGGCCAGTGAGGTCCTTATACTTTTTGACAGATTTTTGGCAAGATGCAAAAACATATATTTGAATGAGACAAAGAGTGTAAAGAAGTTTGTACTGCTTAATCACCTGGTATGTTTCGCTGGTGAATGTATTTGATATTAATGTAACAATTATAATTCATAATGATTGTATAATCATGTGGTTCTGGGTGACCACCATACTGAAACAAACACACACTTAAAAGATGAATGAATTGTCCTTTCAACAGCAATAATTATAATACATTTTATTCATATTCGCGCCTTAACAAACAAGTGGACCATGTTCTCTTCCTCTATCGCCGATGCTGCAGCTCGTAGCTGTGGTCGCAGGGTCTCTGGTGCTGGTCTCTGGTGCTGGTCCCGGCGGCAACCCCCGAACCCTGTGGTGGACACCGGTAGTAAGGGATGCCGTCAGGCTGAAGAAGGAGTCCTTTCGAGCCATGATGTTCATGGGACTCCTGAGACAGCTGTCCAGTACCGACAGGCCTAGCGCACCGCAGCCCGGGTTGATTTCAGAGGCAAAAACCCGGGACAGAGAGTCCATGGAGCATGACTATCGGTCGGCCTCAAAGAGATTCTGGCAAACCATCCGGCGCCTCAGGAGGGGGAAGCAGTTCTTTGCCAACACCGTGTACGGTGCGGGTGGAGAGCTGCTGACCTCGACTGGGGATATTGTCGGGCGGTGGAAGGAATATTTCGAGGTTCTCCTCAATCCCCCCCGTCACGTCCTCCGTCCAGGAGGCAGAGGCTGAGGATGTTGGGGCGGATACTTCCATCTCCCTGGCTGAGGTCACCAAGGTGGTTGGCAGCCTCCATGGTGGCAAGACGCCTGGAGAAGATGAGATCTGTCCTGACTATCTAAAGTCTCTGGATGTTGTAGGACTGTCTTGGCTGACACGTCTCTGCAACATTGCGTGGCGATCGGGGGCGGTGCCAATGGGGTGGCAGACCGGGGTGGTGGTCCCTCTCTACAAAAAGGGGGCCCGGAAGGTGTGTTCCAATTATTGTGGGATCACATTCCTCAGCCTCCCCGGTAAGGTCTACTCCAAGGTACTGGAGAGGAGGCTACGGCCAATGGTCGAATCTCGGATCCAGGAGGAGCAGTGTGGTTTTCGTCCCGGTCGCGGACCCCTTTAACAGCTCTATACTCTCCATCGGATACTCGAGGGTTCATGGGAGTTTGCCCAACCAGTCCACATGTGCGTTGTGGATTTGGAGAAGGCGTTTGACTGTGTTCCCCGGGGTGTCCTTTGGGGGGTTTTCCGGGAGTACGGGGTCCGGGGTCCTCTGCTGAGGGCCGTCCGGTCCCTCTATGACCGGAGTCAGAGCTGTGTTCGCATTGCCGGCAGTAAGTCAGACCTGTTCCCGGTGCATGTTGGCCTCCACCAAGGCTGCCCTTTGTCACCGGTTCTGTTCACTGTATTTATGGACAGAATTTCTAGGCGCAGCCAGGGGTCGGAGGGGTCCGGTTCGGAGACCACAGGATTTCATCTCTGCTGTTTGCGGACGATGTTGTCCTGTTGGCTCCAACGAACCAGGACCTGCAGCATGCACTGGGGCGGTTTGCAGCCGAGTGTGAAGCGGCTGGGATGAGAATCAGCACCTCCAAATCCGAGGCCATGGTGCTCGACCGGAAAAGGGTGCCTTGCCCTCTCCAGGTGGGTGGAGAGGTCCTTCCTCAAATGGAAGAGTTCAAGTAGGGTCTTGTTCACAAGTGAGGGAAGGATGGAGCGTGAGATTGACAGGCGGATCGGTGCAGCGTGCGCAGTGATGCGGTCGCTGTATCGGACCGTTGTGGTAAAGAGGGAGCTGAGCCGAAAGGCAAAGCTCTCAATTTACCGGTCAATCTTCGTTCCCTCCCTCACCTATGGTCATGAGCTTTGGGTAATGACCGGAAGAACGAGATTGCGGATACAAGCGGTCGAAATGAGCTTTCTTCGCAAAGTGGCTGGGCGCTCCCTTAGAGATAGGGTGAGGAGCTCAGTCACACGGGAGGAGCTCGGAGTAGAGCCGCTGCTCCTTCACGTAGAGAGGAACCAGTTGAGGTGGCTCGGGCATCTGTTCAGGATGCCTCCCGGACTTCCCTGAGGAGGTGTTTCGGGCACGTCCCACCGGGAGGAGACCCCGGGGAAGACCCAGGACACGCTGGAGGGACTATGTCTCTCAGCTGGCCTGGGAACGCCTTGGGGTCCCCCCGGATGAGCTGGAGGAAGTGTGTGTGGATAGGGAAGTCTGGGCGTCTCTGCTTAGACTGCTGCCCCCGCGACCCAGCAACGAATGAAGAGGAAGAAAATGGATGGAAAAATGGACAAACAAACAAAAATACAAACATACAATACAAAATCAAATACAAAAAAAAGAGCAAATAAAAGATTACATGACTCCAAGTGAAACATGATTTGAGAATGTTTCCTGTTAAAATAATGTCACTGCCACTTATGAAAGTAGAAATTGCTCAGCAGTAGCACAGCAGCCTCAAGATCAAACATGCAGCTGCAGAAACACGCCACCAGAGGGCAGTGTCCATCAGTGTCTCAGCAACATAGTGTTGGCGCTCATAGTGTGTAAATTATTCAGTTTTAAATTCCAGTAAATATCTTTAATGTAACGTACTTGCATCTTGGGCAACCTGCAGACATCTTGGGTATGTTTAATGGTATATGTATCAAAAAGTTATTAAATGCAAAGCAAAGAAATAGAGGATTAGTGCTTCAGCCTCACAGCAAGAAGGTCCTGAGCTCATGTTTCAGGCCTTGCTGTTTGCATGTTCTCTCTGTGTCTGTCTCCTATGTCTGCTGATGCTCCAGTTTATACTCCTATAAAGACTTTTAAAGACCACACCAGTCAGTTTTATAAGTTCAGATTGTATAAATATTGACGAGTGTAAGACGTCAGAGAGCAGCAATGACCTGCAGAAGCTCCCACAATAAAAAATATGTTGATATCATTATTCTTCTGTGGTTTCTGGCCGAGCGCCCGCCGTCCCAAACAATGTGGGTATTGTTTCCTGCACACACTTCCTCACTGCGGCTCGAACATCAGAGTTTAGTGCGGTCTGCAAAGTAACATCAAACGGTTTTTACTCAAATGTAAAGTTATAATCTCATAGAAACACATGGTCCTAACTCGTTTTAATGTACTGTGGTGATTTATGATTTTTGCTGCCTTGTGAGATTGTTAGGGTTATCTTTGTTAAGCACTTTGACTCCCAGATTTGTGAAACTACTAGAACTCCCAGAGCAGTCATTTTGACAGCTCCCATCAAAATCAATGGAATTCTGACAACAGCAACTTAATTTTTGTTGAAATTAAGTTATTCATACATGTTTTTTTTATCTTTAATATATGCTAAAATTCGGGAATCCAACTGAAATACAGCAAAACTAAATACTATCTGCTGTAGGTAAAGTGTGTGTTGCTACGGTAACTAGCACAACCTGTACAGGACCAGTCTGGGACCAGTCTAGGACCAGTACAGGACCAGTCTGGGATTGAGATGGATTTCATGAACGTAATTACATAGAAAAACTACTATAGATACAGAGAAAATCACAAAAAAAGTTATTTATTTATGTCTTGATTAGATTGAGTTATTGATTGGCATTATTTAGCACTCAAATTCTTAATAGACACCATTTTGTATTTTTTTTTTTTATTATTGTAAAATGTATATGATCTTTGAAAACATGTGACCTGAGATCTACATAATGGCCGAAGTAATAAACTACTGCTACCTTTATTCATTAATTTGATCGGGAAAAGTGTATACAATCAACATGTGAAACACTACAACATTTATAGCCAAGCCTAATTTGAAATGTCCGCCCGTATGAGGTTTTTTTTCACACAATTAAAGCCAAGTTGTGAAAACCAAAAACATACATAAGCGAATGACTGCTCAGGGAGATCTAAGCACTTGCCTTAACTTGCTTGGCCAATGATCGCCAACTATTCACCCACATGTGCACGCGTCCAATGTGATTTTTAGAGAAGTGAGGGTCGCGAACCAAAACCTGAGGCACAATTTGTCGACTTTACTTTTTAATTCTAGTTATTTTGCTGTGTTTGCTTTGTTTTTTTTTGTTTTTTTTGGTTTCATTCAGCTGCCAGGGTCCGGCCTTCACCTCCCAGTCACAGAGAGGTCTGACGGAGATTAATACTCTATTGTTACGTTTGTCTAAAGGCACGACAAGGGGCTGTTCTGTCACTGATGACTTCTGCAGACGCAAACAAGACGGGGCTTTCTCTGCACCGACTAAAATGATGTTCATAAATCAGTCATTTTTGTTGGTGCTCTAATTTAGCAAAGTAGCAGATGATCTTGTGGTATTAGACAACACCGTGTGACTTCCTTTTGGCAAAACATCCCCCGTGAGATTCTGTATAAGAATTAAACCATTTATATCAGTCTCCATGGTCAGATTAGTTCATTTGTAGAGGACTATTTTCCCGCGGCAACACTAAAGCCCCCCTGCTCCAAACTTTTTCAATCAGAGAGCTACTTTTATACAACAGAAGTGGCAGAGAGCTACTCCTTTTTGCAGATGTAATAACATCGATTGATGTAATGATCAATCGATGGGGGCGACAGTAGCTCAGTTGGTAGACGATTGGCCTTAAGGCCAGAAGGTCGTGGGTTCAATTCCCACCTCTGCACCTTCTCCATCGACTCCCACTGATGAATGCTGTCGTTGTGTCCTTGGGCAAGACACTTAACCCCACTTTGCCCAAAGCCCCCACTGAAAGATCAAGGCTATGCTCACACTCAGAGAGCAGCTGTCCTCCTGTGGACTCAGAGGGTCAGTGAGGGGCTGGTGCTATGAGACTTGGGTGGCATCTCTGACTGCCACCCCCCTGACCCAGAAATGGATTAAAGGGTAGAAAATGGATGGATGTAATGATTACAACAAAACATGGAAAACACATGTAAAATATACCAATACTGTATCACCCAGTATTTATACTTCGAATTGATTTTAATCATACAGGATCATGTGTTAAAATCTAAATCCTTTGGGGAGCTACCTGAAAGGGGCTAGAGAGCTACTGGTAGCTCCCGAGCAACAGGTTGGAGACCCCTGCACTAAAGAATACCTTCTTATTCCCAAAGCTATAGATAAAGTATGACGTTTTATTAACGTAGTTAGGTGGCTGAGTGGATAGCACTCTCGCCTCTCAGCAAGAAGGTCCTGGGTTCGAGTCCCGGTTGGACCAGGGCCTTTCTGAGTGGAGTTTGCATGTTCTCCCCGTGTCTGCGTAGGTTTCCTCCGGGTGCTCCGGTTTCCCCTACCACTAAAAATATGTACAATAGGTCTGGCATGTGCCTCCTGTACTGGCGACCCCACTCCCAAAAATAACAATTGTAAACCGCTTTGAGACTCCAATGTGCAGTGAAAAGGCGGTATATAAATAAAAGATTACTTACTTACTTACTTACTTAGGTAGGTAGTTGCAAGAGGTTTTATTTAAGGCAAAATAATATCATTGAAACAAGTTGACGGACACTTATTTAAGCATGAGTAGCGCCACTTGCACGTGAAAGCCTGATCCATGGATCTATAATAATAACTGGATAGGGTATTACTAGCTTATAGCTGTCCCACCCATGGGCACAGGGGGCGCCCGTGGTACTGCTGACTAAATTCACGCGGGCTGCCCAGAAATTTTCCCCATAGATCTCAATGTAAACTATAATAGCTCGACCTCAGCTGACAGAGAACCTACAGCTTTCATAAAGATCGTATTTTGTGGGGATTTTTATGTCCCTTGTCATCCTGAACTTTTTTTCTTCATAAATCCTTTGTTTTTCTTTAAATCCACACTTTACTGCCACAAACTCTGCTCCTTTCCTTCTCGCTCTGACTCTGCTCTACCGCTGCTCTGATGATCAGCTCTGATTGGTCAAAGCGCAGCCGAGCCCCTCTGTGCACGTGCATGAAAGCCACACTCGCGTATTTGGTGCAACGCGTCATGGGAGATAATCCACTGAGCAGAACCGGGAGGACCAGAAGATGCCCAAATATAGGCAAGTTCTGCTAATCTCCCGGCCTCCGTGAAGTCCCATGCGCTACTGAGCTCAAGCCATTCATTTGAATAGGGCGCCATCTTGGATCACCGGGGCTGGGCCTGATCCCACTTTGCCTCAGAAGCTAAGCAGGGCCTGGTTAGTTCTGTGATGGGAGACCTCTGAGAAGTAAGTAATTATTTATATAGTTTTTACAGACCAGGGTGATTTACAATGTTCAAAGTTCAGATATTTTTCCATTCCCTCCACACAAGATGACACACTGGGGCATCAAAGCTTTAGGCAAGACACGCCACAATCCCTCGTCTAGTTTTGTCATTCTTACCCAGGGCAGCTGTGGCTACATTTTGAATGAACCATGCCATCTGTCACGAGAGTTTACAAACGGTTTATATAAAAACAATGCATTATTAATTTTGCAGGGCACATCTTTTGTGCTTTGTCAGAACACTTCTGAAAATCTTAATTGCCGGCCTGTCCACAGATCCATCTGACCTGTAACTTAGTATGTGGAGTCACTTGAAAGTCTCTAATATTTCTGGAAAAGCCCAATGCCAAACGACTGTGGAACATTCCAGACCAAAACAACAACAGTAAGATGGAGCTCAACAAAATCTGCTCCATCCTCCAAAGAAACTAAAGTAAAGTAAAATGGTCTGTATTGTATATTGTGTGTGCTCTTACTACAGTCTGTGCTCTTACTACAGTTTTCAATTCAATTCAATTCATCTTTTTTATTTGAGCATCTGAGTTCCACACAGTTCTACTTATATACAAAGTTCAGCACAGTAATCAAAGCCAAAAAAAAAATAGATAGGCGTAAGTAAATACGTAAATAATTAAATAAATAAATAGCGTGGATATGATGCTCAAAAGGAGTAGGCAGAAGCTTAAGCTTATTTGCACCTACCCCTTGTGTACTGAAGAATTTGATACATTCAATACATTAATATAGAGCTTTAACTTAAGAATCACATAGCTAGTACATAAGAGATATGTGAAGAAGAGAAAACAAACAACAACAAAAACAATATACAGGTTATGCATCACCCTATATACACTATATACATAAGCGGATACATATATATTATCATTATTATTATTTTTATTTATTTTTTCACTTCTGCATAGCTACATGAGCTCAGTATGGCCAAGTAGATAAACAGTAATACTTCATTTTTAGTTTGTCAGTTACAGTAATACATCATAAATAGATTACTCTGCAGTTATTTCTATTTCCACACTCAGTGATATTCCTCCGTCCTGTACTTGGACAATATGAGTTGTTTATACTTTGATTTGAATTGATATATACAGTCCTTCTCTTTTCTTATCTTATTCACATCGATTTTGTAACTTTCTTTTCCATATAGACTAGAGAGTAAAGATTGAACTGCTAAACTGATTATTTAATAAAGTAATTATATTTTTGACTGTCTTAAAACAATGGGGCAAGACAAGTCTCTCAGTCTGAACTGTGGCGTCACTGGTACAGTAGCCTGCTGTAAATATGTATGTTTTTTTATAATTCATTTTTTGTGTGTGATGTTTTTTCATATCTGGACCTCGTGTCTGTAATAATAAAGTTTCATAATTTGTAATTGTCCTATACGTTTTTTGGTTCAATACAAAACGCAACAGTTGGAAACATTAGCCACACCAATTAACAGTCAAGACATCATGTGTAATTATTTTCTATTTATTTCTATAATTATTGTTCTGTGTTTTTATGTAGCGTGGGCCAGAGGAGAATTTCTGCTTCAGACAACAAATATATTCCACCATATTATATTTCAAAGATAGTCAACATTTCTCACAGTGTTTGGTTTGACTCTTAAAAATCCAGGCATTTTTTTGCTATTCCCATCAGTAAATCTCCTTTAGAGATGTATTTCACAATAATTCAAGCAACTTTGGACGTATGTTTTGTCATGTTTGGATGATAGATATTCGTCTTTATCGTGTTTTTCACTTCTTTCTTCTATGACTCACTGAAAAAATGCCCACCCAGCCGACACACACACACACATGATGTTGTGAGATCATAGTGCAGCCTATCACTCAAATCACCCTATAAGGGATTAAAAGTAAGCAAAGAAACACATTTTTAACAATTTTTACAGTTTTTTTGTGTGCTTTTGTCTCATTCATAAAAACTTTGACGTCTGCATGCTGTTTGAGGACACACAGAGTCGGGAAAGATAAAGCAGACAAAGCATACTTTCATCAGTAGAAGTTGACGAGAGGAGTTCGCCCCAAATGCCCGAACACGGGAGCAGCAACGGCAGCATTTCCTCCTAAAAAGGAAACTCGGCCTCAGAGGAAGAGAGCGTGACATACTTCTGCACTTAGACACTGACATGATGGACCAATGGGAGGGTTGAGACACTGAGGGATCTGCTCCGACAAACTAGGGCATTCAATTATAATTTTTTTTTGTATTACATTAAAGCTATAGGGTACTAAACTGTCATATTACAAATTATAAACTGTTTGTCATACTACCTAAAAACACATGTGGAGAACATGCAAACTCCACTCAGAAAGACCCTGTTCAAACCGGGATTCAAATCTATCCATTCCGCCACCATGCCGCCCACCTGGTCCTGGGTTCTGGGTTCAATTCCACCTCCAGGACCTTACTGTGTGGTGTTTGCATGTTCTTCCGGTGTCCACGTAAGTTTCCTCCAGGTGCTCCAGTTTCCCCTACCACTAAAAACATTGGCTTTGTGACTCTGGTCTTTGAAAGGTGCTATAAAACGTTACTTTTACTCTTACGCTGGAAAAGGCAGCAAGTCCTAAGTAGCTATTTCTTAGCTCAATTTTTGTTTTTTGTTTTTTTTTCTACCTGGTACCAGTCTTGCTGCACCCAGAGGCTACTCCACCACTGCTGCTGTGACCAGTCCAGCTCCACCCAGAGGCTACTCCACCTCTGCTGCCGTGACCTGAAGGGCTGTTGCTGATTATTACTATTGTTAGCTTTTTGGAATGATCCATTTTTTTTTTGCTGCTACTGGACACCTGAATTTCTCCTACGGCGGATCAATAAAGTATCTGTCTGTCTGTCTGTCTATATTAATAAAGATTACTTACTTAAAATTGAATACGTATTTGCTGACAGCCTCTGATATCCTCACAGCTCTTGTTGTTTTTGCCGTTGCTCCTTCAGAGGTTCAGTCGGTTGGAGGTGACGCCGCTGCAGCTGTTGACAGATGTGACTGCTGCAGATTCAGGAGATGAAAGAATGATAAAGACGTAACGTTGCAGATATGTTCAGGGAGAGCGTGGAGCGACGTGCGTGTATCTCATGTGATACACACATGAGATCGATCATTTTACATTACACACACGCAACTAAAAACTGGACTTTTCCATGAGACAAGAGGGAGTTTACGACAAGAGTATTCAATTCCATGTATTCTTGTATAGCCCTAAATCACAACTAAAGTGATCTCAGAGGACTTTATAAAACCGTTGAATTTGCCAACAACAGATCAGAGAATCAAAAAAACACATTGGTATTGGTCCCTAAGGGGCAGATGACCAATGTCCATAAGTAATAATAATACTAATAACAAAAACAATACATTTTGTTTCTTCTATTTCTTCTTGAGGCACCACGCTTGACACCAAAGTTCAGAATCAGAATCATTTTTATTGCCACATAAGTAACAGGAAGTCACAGACTTGGAAATTGCTTTGGCTCAGTGCAACAGTCAGAAAGAGAGGTAAAGGTAGAGAGGCATAATAAAAAATAAAAATAAAAAGCACTTCTAAGGAATACATTTAAAATAGAGTTACAATTACTACAATGTACAAGTGCACATGGTGCACACACTGGGCCTCATGTATGGTGTACATTTTGGGTGTATATTCCATTTACGCAAAATCCAACGTGGTATTTATGATCGTGTGAGATACACCCAGACCTATGCGTACGCAGCTGCGGGTGTTGATAAATGCTGCGGCTGAAAACAAACGTATTTATGAAAGTCACGCCTAGAATTATGCAGCAATCGCGTGTTTCACGCCCGTTTTTGCGACAGGTCAGCAGGAAGCCGGCCAAAAAGATTGTTTGAAAGCCTCAAAAGGCACGTTTGTTTGCTCATGTTTATGTAAAAAAATAAATATACGCTGTATATTCAGCTGGGTTATGAACAGATTTGCTCAAATGTTTTGATACATTATAAAAATCTCTCTTGAATTGTAGAAGTGAATAAATAAAGAATGAATGAATTCATATATATTTTGCAGCAGTTGCTCTCATCAATGAAGAATGAACAAATCTAATGAAATAATACAGTGCTTTACCAGATGTGAATGAGGAATACAGATAGCTGTGCGTAATTACGCAACGCAGGCAGGCCTGCCACAGATTTACAAAGCAATAGATGGGTCACACATCCCTGTCGCGTAAAGTGTATTTGTATAGAGCCTTTCACAGTCAGAGTCACAAAGCGCTTCACATTTTAAAAACATACAGATCTTATAGAAACAGAAGAGGCTACTCATCATGATAGTTTGTGCGTACACATGCACTTCACTCCACACAGAGATGGGAGCAGGGTCGCCAGTACCTATTGTACATGTTTTTACACTGGGCTCAAAAAAGAAATTATGGAAAGAGATGACAGCATCTGAAAACAGCGTGGGGCCTGTAAGACGCACTCCTGAATTTATTAATGGTTGAAGAAATATACGCTATATTTTGTCAAACATTTGACAAATATGGGCAATGCTTCGTATGTATTAATTTATGCCACTGGTGAAAAAAAAACAGAGCTACCTTAAAATGGTACAAAAAGGCGTTTAGTGCAGCTCATGGAAGAAGTGCTCAGCAGCCCAGGGGGAGGACCGCCAGACAAAAGCATCCAAAAGAAAATATTAAGAAATAAAATTATCTATGTATGTGATTATTATTTCAAAATGGTTGAATGGGAGCCTGTTTGAGCTGTACAGGCCGAAGGCGGTGCAGGCCATGGTCTCATTCTCATCCAGGGCTGCACCAGTGCATCCTCATACCGTGGTCCTGTGCCTGTTGTGGAGAACCGAGCCAGGACCATATGGCACACTTGTACTAGGTACTGTACCAGAGCGTATCCCTGCACGTCCCAGAGCAATCTTCCTCTGATCAGACCCGCGCAGCGCTCCAAGGTGGCATGCGTCTTTGCTCGGACCCGCATGAACCAAATGCTTTTACGCACTGAATGCTGCTACTCTCATAAACCACGCATTTACGGGAGACTTTTGAGTTTGACATCTTGCACGTTATTTAATAATAATAACACAAAATAACCCTAACATAACTTCGTAAAATTGCATATTTGTAATGTGAGAGGTGTGCCAATAATCTTGCCAGAGTGGGAATAGGTACATTTTAGTCCAAATCTTGCATTTCATGCGTGTTTTGGCGTGTTGTAATGAAGGTTGAAATGAGCGTACACATTTACACCCCCTATTGACTTGGTGTAAATTCTGTGCGTATCGTACGCCAACGTCCAGATTGATAAATGCGGAAAAGTGTACATTTTTTGCGTACGCTTCATTTACACGCTGATTTGGCCGTACGCAAGTTTCATACATGAGGCCCAATGTAAGGTGACAGCAGTACAGTGAGGTAAAGTGACGTAAGATGGGCAGTAAAGTGACTTTATAAAGAGCAGTAGGGGACTTTATAAAGGGCAGTAAACGGACTTCTAGAGGGCAGGGAGACAGGTGTAAGGTTAAATAAGGGACAGGGCCGGACAACAGAGCCCAGGCCCTGGACTATGTAAACATTTGACCAAAAGGAGGGAGACACCCCACTGCTGCTTCAAAGGAGCCGTGGGGGTCAACCGGAGGACTGCCATTTGCCATGGAGATTACAGGCGTCAAACAGAGCAATAAAATCACCACAGGAATAAACATCTCTGTCTCTGCCTGCCTGGAAAGATCAAGAGGCCAAGGCTCTGCCCCCACTCCCAGGGCAGCCTGGCCCTGAGACAATCGACGACTCACCCACGGCGTTATGGCGCCCCCCAGTGGATACCGGACACTATCACACCCGAGGCGGACACTCGAAACGAACATTCCCCGATGATATTGTGTTGATAACCGTTACGGACACTACTCGTACGTGGCGTTGTCTTTGATGTAAATGCACTGTGTATCGGTATATGATTATGAACGACAGAATGTCTATGTGTTGTGTTTTGCCCTTGTGAACATGTCGGCCCAAAGAGGCGCCCAAAGATGACGTCACGGGCGCGCCCCCTTTGGACCACAACAAAACCAGAGCGCAGACCCAGAGACTTCCTCTTGGTTTCCCTTGCAATCACCGTAACAACTTTCCCTTTGGGTACGTGTCTCCTACACGGCCCACGCCCGCCACCACCTCGGGCCCATACATCCACGAGGACAGCCGCCACTCTCGCTGTCGGAGACGAGGACCTTCCATCGCCAGCCACTTTCCGGCTCTCTGGACACCCCACACTCAACGCTATTCTAGACCGTGTTGTGTGTGGAACCCACGTTTGGATCCGACCTGCTGGTTTCCTCCTGCTCCCCGTTCGGACAAAGAACACGTGGACGAGAACCTCGCTTTTCCCCATCTCCATTCTTCATCCTCATCCTTCCCGCTGCCCTCCATCGCCACCACCTCCTTTGGACTGCTCAAAGTAAGACTGTTCTTTGTTGGAGTGTGATTTAAATGATGTGCATAACAATCTCTGCTTAATGTGACCAGAAAACCCTTTTCGTTGATATTTTCTATTTTCATTTTTGTAGTCAATAAACCCACGTTAACTTTAACTCAAATGATGGTCAGCTCCCACTTGAGGTCCTGGGTGATGGTGGTGCCCAGGAAACTAAAGGACTCCAAAGGGGTGATGGGGGAGTCCATCACGGAGGGTGGGGGCGGGGGGACTGTGCTCTTCCTGAAGTCCACAATCATCTCCACTGTCTTCTGGGCGTTCAGCTCCAGGTTATTACCACTGCGCCAGGACACCAGCCGGTCCACCTCCCTCCTGTAGGCGGACTCATCGTTGTTGGAGATGAGTCCAATGAGGGTGGTGTCGTCCGCGAACTTGATCAGCTTCACGGAGTCGTGGCTGGAGGTGCAGTGGTTGGTGTACAGGGAGAAGAGCAGGGGAGAAAGAACACAGCCCTGTGGGGCTCCTGTATTTATAATCCGAGAGTCCGAGACATTCTTCCCCAGACGCACTCGCTGCTTCCTGTCTGTCATGAAGTCAGTGATCCACCTGCAGGTGGAATCGGGCACGTTGAGCTGGGAGAGCTTGTCCTGGAGCAGGGA